TCCACTTTGGGAAAATGACAGGAGTTAGACTAGACTAACTCACTGGTTTCTCATCTTTTCAAGAACAGATACCCCTTTTTAATATCCAAAAATTTTCAAACCCCCACAAGATGTGTTACCCAATTAATATCTGTTGATTCAGAAAATATATAACAAGAAGATGCTATAAATTCAGTAATGAATACTTTAAAGTGAAATTGTATTTTATTAGTTAAAACAGCATGCATATATACATATTACATATGTGTATATATATATGTATATACATATATAGTATGAAAAGTAGCAACACATGTGCAAGACATTTTTTTCAGTCCTAAGAAGATATAAGTTAACTATTTCTCATACCAGAATTTATTTTGGCTGGCTATTTTCTTGAAACTAAATAAAGATCATGATACCAATACTTACTATATATAAGGATTCCTGAACCCTTGAAATAACTCCCCAAGGCCTTCAGGGTTCTTAGCGCCTCAGTTTGGAAGCCACTGAATGAAATTATCTCTAAGTCCATTCTATCTTGAAGTCCTAAGATAATATTTTTTTACTTAAACACATCATTTAAAAAATCTAATTAAGCAAAGAGATCATTAAATTTTAGGGTTCCTCTTTCTTTTCACTCCCACCCCAACTCATAAGGAGAGAGAGGAAAGTTAACTCCGAGAGATTAAGAAAAGCCAGAAGTGGAATTGGTAGCTGGGTCCCATAAGTGCTTTGTTCCTGAGAAATGTGAATCCATTGGCCTATTTGGGGTAGCTGATTAGAAAACTGCTTTAGGGATGCATACTCTTTATGAGGAATAATTTTCCATAGTCCACTATCTGAAAATTGTTGTCATTCCTCTGAGATCCTCAGTCTCTTGTTTCGATATCAATTGTCTCCATCTCATTCACATGCGTACAAATGCACACACATATATCATACATTACTACATACACATACACTCACCACACACACCATCTTGAGCATCTAAGAAAGTCTTTAATGTAGACCCTGAGTGTCAAGTAAGTTAAATAATAATTTTACTGTAAATATTAAAAAAACCCTATGATTATTACTTCTTTTTCTGGACGTTTTATTTTCCCCTCCAATACTTAAGTTTAGCTTTCTGCTGTTAGTGAAATAGTTTTAAAATATCATGCCCAATTATTACCAGCAGTACTATGGGAACAGATTTATTCACAAGACCAAAATGTATTTGTTTGTTGTTGTTGTTTTTTATTGGCCTACATCTGGAGTACCCCAGATATTTGTGACTGTTTTCTTGAAAAAAAAAATTGGACACTTCTGAGTTGTCCACTACAACAGTTTATTTTTGACTTGGAAGTAAAAGTGGATCACTTAAATTCTTATTTACAAGTGTAATTAGTATCTAGATAAATCAATGTTGTTGTTGGGGTTTTTTTGGGGGCGGGGGGAGGGTTGTGTCCAAGACATATCCCAAAATGGACTTTTTTTTCAAAATCAAAGCAATTCTTAGCTCTTCTCTCATACATTTAAGTTATATGAACAATTACCGGCAAAATCTGATAACAAGAAGGATTTTGTAATACAAAGCACTTTGTATGTCATTGTAGATGTTTGGTGGTAGTGATGATCATTAGTCTTGTATAGATTTGTTTATAAAGAATAATCTAATAAAACAAATGCTTTTTTCTCTAAGACTTTTTTTTTAATTTTTACTGCCTTTCAGGAAAGCACTTGATTATTGTTTTATTTAGTCTCAGTTTTAGTAACTAAACTTTGAAGACCATAAGATCATAAACTTTTTAAAGACATAAGAAAACTATAGATAATCTGATCTAGTCTTCTCATTTTGTAGATGAAGAAACTGAGGCCTAGGGAGTTTAGATAAAATCTTACAATTAGTTACTACCATCTTTCCTTTCACTCATGTGAGGCACAACTTGAATGGAAATGGGATTGGCTCTGTGATCTATGATCTCATTGGTATAGAGAACACTCAATGAGGAATCTCCTTCCCAAAGAAGATGTGATTTAAAAAGTTGCCTTAAAAAATCTTGCTCAGGATCACCTAGCCTGTGTGTGGCAAAGCTCTCTATTTACTCCCAAATAATATGGTGCTTAGTGAAACACTCACAAAATGACCAGTTAAACTCCAGAAATAATAATAATAATTCAAGGAAAGAGCTAGGTTTGAATACACACACACACACACACATATCTACATATCCATATCCATATCCATATGCATATACATATACACATACATATAAAATCCCCCTGGCACACAGTAAGCACTATATATATGCTTATTCCCTTCTTTCTGCCCTCCTCAGTCACAGCACTTCACTTAATAATTCATTAAAATAACTTCTTTCAATTAGTTCCTCAAGGTTTTGTTGGTTTGTTTGTTTGGGGGGAAAGGCAATGTTTAATCTACCTTTCACCATTGACTTAGAGTGCTTACTTGACTGTTATTTCTATATATGTTGACTTTTCAAGCACTTTTCTTAGAGTGAACAAGGGAAGTAGGGTCGATCACATGTCCTGACTCCCGCAAATCAGGAGGATTACTAACATGACCCCAAAGAGTTGAGCCACTTTGGAGAAGCAACTCTGCAACAATATTGGCCTAAAATAAGACTATTTCCTCACATCATAAGGTTTAAAGTTGTCAGGAATTTTCCAAGTGACTTGCTTGAGATCATACAGATAATAAATGGCAAAAACTAATATGGAAGTTGGGTCTTATGACCCCTGATCCCAAAACATTTTCCACTACCCCAGACTTCCCCCTCTCTGGAGATTCAGACTCATATGACAATGATCTCAGTCAGAATCACCAGATCCAATTGGGCAGAATCAATAAACTATTTACAAAGTTAAATAAATCAGAGGTTTTCCCATTTTAGTCCATTTTATCTCTTTTTTTTTTTCTTTTCCACTCCTCTTTTCTCTTTGTCTCTCTTTCTTTATCTTCTTTATTGACAGGTAGATCTAGATTCCAATCCTGGCTCCAGCATGCAAGCCCAGCTTTCTCATATTTAAATTTCAACCTTTAGGGGCAGCTAGGTGGTGCACTAGACAGAGCACCAGCCCTGTAGTCAGGAGGACCTGAGTTCAAATCTGGCCTCAGACACTTGACACTTACTAGCTGTGTGACCCTGAGCAAGTCATTTAATCCCATTGCCTAGCCAAATTAAAAAAATAAAATAAAGAGAAAATTTTAACCTTTATACAGTGTACCTCACAGAGTTGTTTTGAAGGAGGTTCTTTGAAAAACTTAAAGCATCATATAAATTTCAGTTATCCTCTTCCTTTTTTAAAAAAAAAATTGTCTTCTTTCCTTAAAGGCAAAAAGGTAGCACAATCCATAGAGCCCTAACTCTGGAGTCAGGAAGACATGAATTCGAATACACTCTCAGACACTTACTAGGCATGTGACCCTGGGCAAATCACTTGACCTCTGTCTGAATCAGTTTCCTCAACTAAAATGGAAATAATAATAATAATAATAATAATAATAGCACCTGTCTCTCAGGATTATTGTAAAGTCCAAATGAGATAATATTTGTAAAATACTTAGCACAGTTCCTGGCACACAGTAGGTCCTTAATAATTGTTTGTTCCCTTTCCCTCTTATCATTTCTTTTCCTCTTCTGCCTCACTTTTATTCTCTCTTGCCTCTTCCCCATGCCTATTTTCCTATTTCATTTTATGGACCTAGAATTTTCAAGTTGGACCAGACTTTAGTGGTTATTTATTCAAACCCCTTCATTTTACAAATTAAGAAATTGAGGCCTAGAGATCTATAAGTAAACTAATAATAATCACATCCACATTGAGTTTTTCAAAATATTTCTCTCCCAACTTAATCAGAAAGAGCTAGCACAAGTATTATCACTCCTGATTTACAGATTTAAAAAAACAACAACAACAGATTCAGAGACATTAAATGACTTGTCCAAAGGTCTCATAGCAAGATTCAAAGCCAGGGTTTGAGCCCAGATTGTCCAATGGTTTCACCTCTATAAGTTCCTGGATGAAAAGGACTGGCAAACATGGTACAATAGAGAGGCTAGCTTTCAACTTTATCATCCTGAGATCCCAATAAACTGAAAATTTGATTTCTAGCAAGAATAGTAGTAGAAATAATTTGCATTTATATAATAATTTACAAAGCACTTAAGAAGAATGAAATTATCATTCTTCCCATTTTACAGGTGAGAACAGAAATGAGGCTAAGAGATGACTGTGATATAATATATCCATTATGACTATTCCACTTCAACGATAAAATTAAGATCTACTAAGGAGCTTTTTAGAATATAATTTTGCCCGTATGTTACATTGTTATTCTGTTTATGCATTACACTAATTCCTTCTGGTTGGACCTGGAGGCAAAAACATAGTGGGTCTGAGATCCTGAGTCTTTCCCACTGACTGTTAGCCTTGTTGTAAAAGTGTGGATGTGTGTAATAATTGGACCCAAATTGAATCCCAAGATCATTCTAAGAATTCACAAAAAGATTAGGTTGAACTCAAAAATATTCAAGTATTTTACTTTTCTTTGAGTCTTTGAAATTAATGATGTACATGTATATGTATTTCTTTAGATCCATTAAAAATACCTTTAACTAGTAGCATCATAGCAGAATAGAATATTGCAATTGTAAAATATTCAAATATGTGAAGTCATCAGAGATCTTTAACATCAGTAAGAAGGCTCAGAACATGTCGGTTATCATGCTGAGTCCTTATGCCCAGTAAATAAGGAGTTCACAGGCCCTGTAGGGTGTGAAGCAATCTTGTGCTTCCCAGCTTCTGATGTTTCAGACTTCTTTCTAATCAGATATTGAAAGCAGCTCATGCCTCCACATGCAAAAGAAAAGAGGTGACTATCGGAAGGATCCCAAACTCCAAAAGGCTGCTCTCATCCGGAGTAGCTGGAACATTTCTGTGTTTTTCTACCTTACTCTGTGTGTGTGGCCAGAGCTTCCAGTAACTGGATATCTATGAACTTTCTCACTTTTCAGGAAATGTCCCAGAAGCAACAGGATTCACAGACAGAAGCAAAACACAGGGCACTACAGTTCAGACAACACGACAAGAGCGTCCACAAGGTTAATTTAAAGAGCGCATGTTTCCACAATGGCCAGACTACAGAGAGAGCTTGGACTACACAATTCAGTATTATAGACAAAAGATTAAGACAAGAGATCTACACATGTTGCCTTGCATTTGTGGTAATTGACACCAATGAAAACATGTACTACAGCTATATTTGATTATGTATGGATATATTTGAAATAGTATACATTGTCTTGATGTTTTTCTGTAATGTAAATAAACTATTTATATCACACAATATAGTTTTTTTCTTTTTCATGTATTTGTTATATATAATAAATACTCAGTGATGAGAAAAAAATTGGCATTCTTAAATTTGCTGTATCTCATAACTCTGTAGAGGTGGGATAGTACAATTTGTACAATTACTGGTGTTTTATTGTACTGTAATTCTTGTGGCAGAATTTGAGTTTATATAGGACTCAGGGACTAGGTTTTGAATGATTCCAAAATCAAGGAAAACTCTGGTTATTGGAAAAGAGAAAAATAATTTACTTTATATCAAGTACAGATAAAATATTTCAGATCTTTGAAGCATCTCTCTTTCATCATTTTCCCCCCTCTGGCCTTCTAGTTTCATGCCTAGAGCAGGGAACACTCTGGTACAGAAATCAAATCAAAGAAAAATTGGAAGTAGAAATGTTTGATAACTCATCAGGAGACTGGAGGGAAAGTGTGACTTTCATTTGGGAGAGAGTTTAGTAACTCCCAGCCAAGAAGAAACCGAAGAAAACTCATTCTGGGTGACCTCAGCAAATTATATCTCAAGGGTACTTAATGTAGCAAAAATAAAATGTTTTAGTTGAGCCAAATTACTAACTAGAGAAAAAAAAGAAGTTAATAATGTTATTATCTAAGCTGAAACATGGGGTTGGTGGAAGGGGATAGAAGCTAAACTCACAAATAAATATTTCATTAAAACTTTGTGAATGAGACTAAACCATTAATTGTAATGGAATCAAGATTGTGGTTATACTTCATGAAAATAGGGAAATATTTTGAACTTATTCATCTGCTGGATGAGATTTTAATGTCATAGCATTTGAAAGGTCTTAGTGGGAAGAAGGATCAGGGTTTGAATTTTTGGTATTGTTTTGAACTAATGAACAGACATTCCTGCTTTATTTTTTAATCAGTAGGAGTTCTTAAAGAATAAAATGTAAATAAAAGATCAGATAGTTTATTTTATTGTTATTTAGCCCTGAATTCAATAATTGAAGCTAATGAAAACTTCTAAATGAGATTCCTTTTGTTTATCTCCTACAAATGACCTCTCCTTAGTCCAGAAAAAAATCATAACTGTCTACTTAATAGCCACTTCCTCAAGGAACAGCCACAGAAAACAGTACTAAGTAATTCAACACCTTTTGAATACAAACAACTTCAATGAAAAATGTGTTGTGAAGAATGATGTTTAAGGTATTTGTTAAAATACAAATAAAAATGACAATCTAAATAGCATCACTTAGGGTTCCCTGAAAGTCCTGCAATTCTAAGTCACTTTGAGAAATGTGACTATTGGCTCTGTTATTGCACTATGTGTGTCCATGACTTGGTCCTTTGTTACTAAGGTGAGGAAAAATTAGCTTCTATTTCTCTACAGAGCAAGATATCTCTTTTTCTAAGGCTGTGAACTGTGGCCTCAACAGGATGTCAATCAGTCTTTTCCTTACTCCAAAGGCAGAGATGAATGTGGATTTGGTGAGCTGCAAAGGGTTCAAAAGAATGGTGCCCCTGACGTTTACTTAAAGAATGTGAAGTTACTTGCATCAACCATTATTGATGAACCACTTTGAAATGATATTTTACCTGGGAATCATAAACTATTAGAGAGGAAAAATCTCTGCAGGAGGTCACCTAGTCTAGCTTCTTCCTACACCATTCAGAAGTTTATTCTATGACTTATACTTGAACAGTTTTTTTTTTAAAAAAAAGCAAGAAAGAAAGAAGGAAAGAAAGAGAAGTATTGAATTCATATTTTATTTTCTTTTTCTTAATCATCACTTTTATTTATGAATCTATCCCTCCTCTCTTCACTAGCTATTGAGCCATCTCTTGCAAGAAAGATTAAAAAGGAAAGGAAAAAATCAGTAAAATTAACCAATACACTGACCATGGCTGACAGTATATGTGACATCCCATAGTCCCCCATTTCTGTAATGAAGGTAAGAAGGGCATTTTCTCAACTCCCCTCCAAGGCTAAGATTAGTCATTATAATTATGCGGCCATACCTGAACACTTTCAGTGATAGACTACTTTATGAGGTAGCACATTACATTTTCAGCCACTCTAATTCTTAGAACATTCTCCCTTACATTGACCCAAAATTTAAATACATTCTTACCTATTTTTTTCTAGTTCTGCCCTCTAGGTAAACACAGAATAAATTGACTCTCTTTCATATGACAGACCTTCAAATATTTAAAGACAATTATATCACCCCTGATTTTCCTCATCTCCATGCTAAAAAAACTTAGTTTCCTCCACCCCTACACAATTCACAGATCTGTCATCCATCCTGAAGACCCTTCTCTAAATACACTTGAATCTGTCAATACCTTTCTTATGGTACTGGAAATTGGACATGAAGCTCCAAATATGGTCTAACTGATACAGAGTAAAGCTGCAGCATTATATTACAAATCTGTACACTACACTTTATTTAGAGACAAATAATATTGTAGGCAGCTAGGTGGTACAGTGGATAGAGTGCAGGGCCTACAGTCAGGAAAACTTATCTTCCTGAGTTCAAATCTGGTCTCAGATGTTTATTAGCTATGTGACCCTAGGCAAGTCACTTAACCCTATTTACCTCAGTTTCCTCATCTGTAAAATGAGCTGGAGAAGAAAATGACAAACCATTCTGGTATCTCTGCCAAGAAAACCCCAAATGGGGTCATGAAGAATCAGAGACAACTGAACAACAAAATTTGCATTATCTTCTTTAATCACTTATATCACACTATTATATTGGATCATATTAAATTTAAGATTGATGGTGAAGTGAGCAATAGAATAGGCTTCTACTGTGAACAGGAAGTAGTGAGGGAAAGTATTTCAGCATCTTTCCCTATGAGGCCAATCTTAACACCACAACAACACCACAAAATCTAGTTTTAGTTCTTTAGTATTTCTGCATGCTTCAAATAAGTCTGGGCTTTAACCTTCCTGGCATTATTCTTACAGGGCCATGCCACTTCTTTGTATTTGTCTTAGTGATGTGCCCTTCCTTTCACCTTTTGTAGATGTTCTTTTAAAATCTCAGCTTATCAGCGAGCTACTGAGACAGAAATATCAGTTCCTTATAGGTTCTCATTCCACACCAATTGTATTACTTAAGATCATTCCTAATTGTATTTTAGAGCCATATTTTTTTATCTGAAGATCTCTGGCTACAGGATAAAACCCATCATTTTCCCTGAACTTTTTGAAATTTGCTTTTTCACAACCTAGGCTGCATGTCTGACTATGTTTGCCATTCCTTTCCTTCACTATTAGAAATTTCAGAATAATGTGGGTTTCCCAGTTTTCTGCCACCTCCACATCAACAACAACAAATTCCTCCTTGTTGGTCAGAAATAAATTCTGAGTAGCATTTCCTCTTTGTACTTCTACCTTCAGCAAGATTAAATTACTAACAAAGCAAGTCTAGAATTTATCAAGAACTCCACTTTTATCAGACTTAGACATCAGCCAAAGATCCCAAAATTGAAATCCCATAACACAATCCTATTTTGCCTCTGTGAGTTTTGTGATTTATATTAGGATATCATCTATATCCTTTGATGTGGTGGTGCAATCACTTTTTTTTTAATTTCCCTATTATTTTCATACAAATGATCTACATGCTGCTTGTACTCTACAGTTGAAGAAAAACATTTTGAAATAGCTATAATTTCTTAAAATACACTAATTAAACACTTATCTATATTTGTCAAATTAACCCACTGGAAAAAATTGAAATACTGATTTTGATCGCCAGAACTCTTGAGATTCATTAGCTAATTCCACTATTCACCAAGTTTTGTCAGATTAATGCCCAAGTTAGAGAACATCTCATATTTGATTTTCATTGTCTTTGTCTCTTATTATAATTTCCCTCAGTTTTAAAATATTTTGCCCCTTAAATGTTAATTGTATTTTTCACAATTAAAAGAGAGTTATATTGTCAAGATACATAAAAGCTTTGAATTTGAACTTTAAAGAAGTCAACACCTATAATTCTTATATTGTTTTTTTCCCTGCAGAACTGGAAATGGGTGGTATTTTAATAATGAAAGTAAAATGAAAGTATTGCTGAAAAATCAAGGTCTCTCTTAAAGACTGTCATTCTAAATGTACCACTTAAGGGGGTTGCCACCACATGCAACAATAACAAAAAAAAAGTCCTTATAGGAGCTTTTATGAATATTTTGACTGTAGGTTTTACCCACCTAGTGAGTTTCAAAAATCTGAAACTTTAATCAATATATACCTTTTCAAATATATTGCAAACATATAATTAATGTATGAAAATGCAGAGTTTGATGTGTGGTTTGTTTTTTTTATCATTTTTATTTGCCTGCCAAGCACCAAATTAAGAGCTATGCGAAGCACAGAATCAAGATTCTTCCTCCCAAGATATTTATTCTGAAAAAAAATAGCAAATCTCAAAAAAACCTACCCACTACCTTTTATGAAGGAAAAAAACAAGCATTTATTAAACAACTATTATGTACCAAGCATGATGCTAAGCACTTTACAGATAGCCTGTCATTTGATCTTTACCACAACCCAGGAGGTAGGTGCTATTATTGTCCCCATTTTACAGTTAAAGAAACTGAAATAAACAAAGGATGAATGATTTACCCAAGATCACACAGCTAGTTAGTGTTTGAGGCTGGATTTAAATTCCCATCTTCCTGACTCCAGGCTGGCACTCTATCTACTAAGCCACCTAGATACTTCATTAAATCTGCTTAAGTGCTGAGAACTGTCAGTTATATCAGGAAGATCACTAGATTTCAAATTAGAACAACTCAGTTTAAAACCTAGTTCCACCACATACCAGCCATGTGACCTTGACAACTCATTTGATCTCTCTGAGTCAGTTTCCTTATCTATAGAAATGAGGATAATCATAGCTGCCTCACCCACTTAACCATATTGTTTTGGGG